TAGCTCAGAGAATTTAGTATTGGATCAACTAATTATCCCCAAATTGATATTTTCCCTAATTCTTGTCACTTACCTCATTGAAAGTATATAAATATTGTAAGGAGAAATTCTGTCTTGGTCACTCATGGGAGGGTTAATATCTATTTATATGTCTATATAAAAAACTGCACTCACCAACCATGCTCCAAAAAGAATGCCAAAAACTAGACGCTCATTTAAACAATATTCTTCTGATCTATAGGAATACAAGACCAAAAAGGTCAATGTTACAAATTACATTTGGTAATGAATTGTCAGCACCATAAACAATAAACGTTCACATCATTATACAGAAAAAATTATTAATCTTTTGAACGATAAGTAATATAGAGTCTAATCTCTCATACTGCCGAAAGAACATCTAAGTGGGTTAAATAGCTGGGGGTTTTTCCTGACCAATTTTAAAACTTAATTTTCATTCACCATAAATCAACATGCCTCCCTTACGTTTCACATAATATAGTTAAAACATCCTCCTCATCACCAATGATTCCTTGGAAACACCAGGCAGAAAGGCTCCCACACAATGTGAACAAAAAAATGTGAAACATTCTTGCTGGGTGAAGGGGAAACAACAAGGCTGACATTTGATTCTGATGAGTAACATTTTTAACTGCAAGACAAAAATTAAAAGTGACTACCATCTAATTTCTCCCTAGGGCTTGCAATATCATCACTGAAACAAAAGTTAAACTCAAGAGAATAGAGAAAACAATCACCAACTGAAGAAAATCTTAATTGTTACCAAACAAATTCTCCTTATTAGCACCTTGGGAGATGTAGAGAGAACAGTATGGAGAATATATATGTTGATGTTAGAAAGTTAAGGGTTAACCTATTTTACTGCCAAAGTTTCAGTACTGAGTCTCCTCTCCATCTGCCCTGCATCTCTCATGTCAATTCCATGAACTTTGTGTTAAATCAAATAATAAAACCCTAGTTGATATTTTCTTCATTCTCGTCACTTGTCTGCTGGATAATACACTGATAATGTAAGGAGAATTTACCTATTTATCACTCCTGGAAGTGAAAAGCTTAAGAGAACCAAGACCTGATGAGTCATTTTTTTAAGTATAGTGAAAATTTTTACTCAGCCTACCCACCAAACTACCTGTAGCTAACATGTTTTTATCATAATCATTTATTCTACTAACCAGTATTGAATTTGGAATTTGACAGCGTCACCACAATACTGATAGCTCCATAAAAACAAGTAGATACCCAAAATGGAAAGCTTAAAACCAGTGATAAGCCACCTTTAAAAAATGATAGAAAGGGAGTATAAATAGTATTATTCATTAGCAAGGTATACCTGGGTCATGCAGCAGTAGTGGTCTATACTACAATAAATTAGCTCACATCACCATATGGTATACTTTTTTCTAAGCACGTACTCAGAGGAAGTTCTACTGCTTTTATAAATTTTAATCCCATCATAAGTTTCCATTCCCACATACAGCATTTAATCAGCTTTTTTTTTCATTCCTTTTTCTCAATTTGTATTGTGGTAAAAGAAAGCTGTAACAGGGTAATGAACCTCTCTCCTAAAATCTCAGTGGACATTCTCTCCATAAAGGGCCGATGACTTCCTTGTATTTTTCATTCAAAGAATCTTAAATTTGATCAGTTTATTACCTTCCACTTCATAATCATTTTCACCATTTTCATCATTTTCACAATTACAATGTATTTTTAACCTTTAATGAATTGAAATTGTAAGGGTAAGTTGCTCACCCCTGGTAGCAGAAGCAGTTAATCTAACAACAGGACAGAGTGAACTCAACCAAGGCTGTTTAAGGCCAATATACATTAACTAAAGCATAATGTCCCCTGGTATGGTATTAAATACACACCTGAAATCCAGTTGAAGGGATGAAAAAGATCTACAGATGCTGCTAATGAGGACAGCAATAGAGCATGTGGAAGGATAATCATCACCCATGTAACTGCAGCAAAAGTCCTCCACCAAAACTCCTAAGTAAGACACATGGATATACAAACATATCAATCAATTATCAATGCTTTAGCTGACAGCCATCTATTCAGTCTATATTACATATATACTCATCTCCTGTGACTATAGTAGATATCTGAATAAAGGAGGTAAGTTCCTAAAGAAGCAATGGTGCAGCATTGGTGGGGATTATAACAAGATAATTTGACTTTGTCAACTGAGTTGATGATGTAAATTAGCCACCATAAAGAGTTTCTAAGCCAAAGTTCAGGTGGAAACCCTTCATCAGAGCAGGTAAAACAAGGTTAATGCTCAAAATGTCAGCTTAGAAATTATTTATGGCGCTAATTTACATCATCAACTCAGTTTGTAATACTTAATTATCTTATTATAGTAGTTACAGCTTTCTACTTTGTCTACAGTTGATATATTCATGTAGATACATCGTAGCTTAATCTACAGTAGACAGTTGAGATGTTTGTAATAAATTTTGCCTTTATTGGTAGCTGTATCTACTTTGGACAGTGTAAGAAACTTTTTCTTCAATACAGAGTGCAGGTGGCTTTATCTGTGGTTGACATAGTACAGCATAGCAGTTGACAGATTGACAGTTTTGTCTACTAAGGATAAATTAAATTGTTTTATGTACTGCAGTCAGTCTGAGTGTGGTATACACAAATTAAACGGGTGTTATCATATTTTTGAGTACCTTTTAAGAGAAATATTCGACAAAGTGATTGAATGCTGTTCCTACATGAAGTTTACACCGCTTGGTACAAAATGTACTAAGTCTTCACGCGTTAAAGTGAAACTTACCCCTTCTGTGAACCATTTTACTTTAGAAACTTCTGAACGTGGAGGTTCAGACGAATCTGATGGCACCATTCCTTATTCAATTTAAATTATAATCTTTCAAGAGGTTTTAGTCGACAGGAAACGTTTCCAGAATCAAATATCTCCAGACTTCAAACCACGCGCCATTTTACCTTCGTCCTTAGTAGCCTAGCCTTAAAGACCAATTGGCTTTGTAGCCAGGCTTCTCAGTAGCCTCGCCTTTCGCAGGTGCTCTCAAGATGGCGGCAATGAGGGGCTGCATGTGCGTTTTTCTTTCCTTGATAAACTGGAAGCTTTGTTTAGGATTATTCGAAGATCAAGTTGGTCTCTTTGACTGGCGTCAAAGCTATTTGGGCAAAGTGAAATTTTCATACTTTGATGTTTCTACGCAGAGCAGTAAGCGATTGTTTGTGGGCACGGAATCTAATGTTGTAGCAGCCTTAAATTCAAGAACTGGTTCCATTATTTGGCGTCAGGTCTTGGAGGAAAGTGAAGGAGCTTTAGATACGTTGCTTTATCGGGAAAATTTGCTTGTGAGTTCTTCAAGTAACGGAAAATATTTGCGATCGTGGGACACCAGCAACGGAGCACTTTTGTGGGAATCGCTTGCTAGATCAGCATCTTCGGTCAAAGAAGTAACTTCACCCTTTCATGGATGGAGCGGTCTAAGAACAGCTTTGGTAGAAGATAAAGAGAACGACTTGGTTATTTCACTGGCTTTCAATGTGGTGAAAGCATTCTCACTCCAAGATGGCTCAGTAAAATGGTCACATGATAGTAGCGGACAAACAGCTGACTATTTCAATTTTCAGCATTCCAGTGGGCATCTGTATCTCATAGGGATTCAAAATGATGTGGATATTGTAATTAAAAAGTTAAGTGTCGAAACTGGTGAGGTGAAAGGAGAAAGACGAATTGGAGCACCATGGATCGGCAATGGTGCTAGCTGTACTTTTGTTAAGAGTTTGAATTTGGTTTGTGCAGAAATATTTAGCCACAGTATTCATCTGATTTCTGTTAGTGATGAGTCTGCAACTGTGAAAACCTTATCGTTAACTTCATTAGGACTAGGAGTTGAAGATCTGTCTGTTAGTAAACCCAGTTTACATTCATTTGGTTCATTTTCAAACTCTTGGGATGAACGATCAGAATTTCTTTTAAAGCTTTCAAAAACTCAACAACTTGTGTTAAAGTTAAATAGTGATAGAAGTCTGAAACTGTTGGCCAAATTTACTGAACCCTCCCTGCTTAGTGCAGCAGAACTTGGCAATAAAGCTATTTTGGCATCAGTAACACCCATCACAGAAGAATCATCAGAGATTAAATGCTATGATCTAGATGACTGGAGACTGTTACAAGACATGTCACAAAAAGTAGCAATGGTTGACCGTGGTGAAGCAGCAGATGCACTGTTGTACTTGTTCAATAAAAAAGAGAATGAACTCGGTTACAGAGTTCTCCTTACCACCACAGACCATGCAGTATTACTGATACAGTTTCCTGGACGTATCATGTGGTCTCGAGAAGAAGCTCTTGCAGATATCACAGCTGTAGAGGTGGTTGAGCTACCATTTTCACCCTCACAAGCAAATTTTGAGACACTTCAGGAGGAGTTTGGGGTGCATCCAAATGGTAGAGCATTAAATAAAATTTTAGTGTGAAGGCTTAATTTATTGCTTTTAAAATTTTGATGTCCATTATGACTAATAAGAGAGCCTGACATGCCCTTATAACACCAATATTTCACTTATAAGAACTCTTTCCCTTTCTTGCTTTGTTGATGAAAATTGACAGTTTATAATAACTAACCAGCTTGGTTCCTCCCCCCCTGATGCTAGTATATGCCCCACTTCTGTTGAAAAATGTTCTTCCACACCCTTTTTATTTGGTGATCCTTTTGCTAAGAATCATAATTTTGTTTTGCAGACGACATTTTGTCCATGTTTATCCGCCGAATCCGTGCCCAAGTTAAACAGTTCCAAGTTCTTGTAAAGCAATTCCAAGCCTTTGTCAAAGCGCAACAAGAACATGGCTTCTTTGCTGAGTCAACAGACAATGAAGAAGAGCAACTGACAAGAGACCAGTTCAACCTGCGCAAATTGATAATAATTGTAACATCTTCAGGAAAAATCTTTGGTCTTAATTCTGCAGATGGAAGCATCATCTGGAAATACTTTTTGCCTGCTCTTGCCCCTTTTTCTCAAAATGAAAAGAAGTACTCTTTACTCTACACACAGCGAACTGTTGCTCACTTTCCTTTGACTGCGCAGTGCATAGTGCTTGGCAAATCACGCACATCTGAAGGATCACTGATACATGTTTTCAACCCAATTACTGGGAAACCAACTAGTCCTGGACATCTCAAAGGAAACCAGCTTCCCTACAGGGTGGTACAGTCCATGCTCCTTCCACATACCGGTACGTTTTCTAGTTCCCTCCCCCCCCTCCCCACCCCCATTTCACTTACTCAAAGTCTGATGTGGTAAAATCTGAGGAATGTGTCTACTCCTGGTTAATTTATAATTTTATAAGCAACATCAAGGAATTGTAATCTATTTGTTCTCTTTTCAGATGCTAAACATACCAAAATTCTGCTTCTTCTTGACTCTTCTCTGAATGTCCATGTGTTTCCACGCACCACAGATGCAATTGAGATTGTGTCTAAAGCATCCTCATCAATCTTCTTCTTCTTGGCTGATAAAGAGAAGAATAATTTGAAAGGATACATGCTCCTGTCAGATACACAGAAAAATGTCTTTCATGTGAGAGACATGTGGAATGTTAACTTTCCTCATTCACAGCAGATCATTTCTAATATTGGTAAGTGTAACAAGCTGGAAGAAATTAGTCATTGACAGAACATTAACACTTTCTCTCTTAAGAACAAAGGAATCTCTCCTTTGAATGATCATTCTACATTTTCAAGCAGGAAGGTGATGTGAAAAACTAAAAGTAGCAACAAGGGGGTTGCAATTGGTGCAGTGGTGAGAGTAGTGGTTAAACAAATTCTCCTAACCAATACCAGAATAAATGTATAGAGAAGAGTATTGAGAATATGGAGACTGATGTTAGGATATAAAGGGTTAAATCTTACCAAGTGCTCAGCTAAGTTTGCTCATGTCTTGTTATTAGAATCCACAGTAATCCAATTGCCTCTCAAACATTATGAAACAGATAGGGCACCAAAATAAGTCTAGTTCCACTGTGTTGAATAAAAATATGCATGTTTGAGACAAAGTTCATTCTTTTATGTTATGTTAGTCCTTTCACTCCCAAGATCTCATTGGTAATTCTCCTTACTATCTGCCATACAATTCTCATGATGTTAGTTCAGAGACTTTGGTATTGGATCAACTAATAATCTCATCATTGATATTTTTTTAAAAATTCTCATTGCCTACTTGCTTGATATCATATTGATATTGTGAGGAGAAATTGTGTCTTGGTCAACAGTGGGAGTGAAAGGGGTAAATATATATTTTTAAGACTTTTGGGGGAGTAATAACACATTTAAAACTTGTTTAGATAGGAAACTTTTGGTAGAAAAAAAAGCATTTTGATGACTGATAATTATGACTTGTTGTACTCTATGTTTGTCTGCCTTATTCCTTGTACTCTTTTAAAACATTGATTTTTTTTTGTATCAGCATCAAAGAGTCCTCTGGAACATGTTCATTCACAAGGAAAAGTTCTTGGGGACAGAAGGGTGCTTTACAAGTACTTGAATCCAAATCTGATTGCTGTTGGCACTGAAGTTACTCCGCAATCTAAGCCAGGCATTTCTATTTACCTTATTGATGCTGTCACAGGTATTATAATGATAATGACAATGACAATTTACAGTTTCTTGCTTCCCTCATGTAACAGAGAGTTTAAGTGCATGTGTACCAGAGTATCTTTAAGCCTTTCACCCCTAAGAATGACCAGCATCTAATTTCTCCCAACATTATTACTCCTGAATCCCACATTAAGGCCATGAGAATAAAGGAAATGATCACCAACTAAAAAAGCTCTTGATTGTTAAACAAATTCTCCCTGTAAGTGCCTTAGGAAATGGACAGAAAACAGTATGGAGAATATGAACACCAATGTTAGGGTGTAAATGGTTGAAAAGTGCAAGACTGACATTGCAATAGTTGATGGTCACTCATTGATCAAGCATGTGGTAGCTAGTAGGTATTGGAAAAATTGTTTGAAACTCTAAAACCGTAGAAATTTTCCCTTTCACAAATTACTGCACAGCCTTGACAACAACACTGCTTGTTCCCAGATTTCTTCCATTTAGAATCACTCATAGCAACCCTAGGGTTTTAGATAAAAAAAAAGGCAATTACTTTTTTTTTCAAGCAAGGACCTACTGGTAGTCACAATATAATTTGTAGAACTAGCTGGTCATAAGAAATTTTCTGAAGTATGTCCACACTACTTAACTTTGTTAAACAAGCTTTAATACTGATGAAAAATTGAACCTAAAAATGACATCACTTTTGTTGAAGGACTGATTATATTCCATACGCGTCACAAGAGTGCCAAGGGTCCTATCCATATGGTGCATTCTGAAAACTGGTTGGTCTACTGTTTATACAATACCAAATCCCGCAGATATGAGCTGACTGTGTTGGAGATGTATGATGGATACACAGAGAGAAACAGGTTATAATAGCCATTTCATTCCTTGGATCAAGTTAGTAACTCTCCCCTCTAGCTGCCACAGTTGTAAATCATTCTAGAGATTTTGGTGTCAGTATGAGAACACCCTCTAATTGACAAGTTTCCTATTCTCTCCTGTTTGCTGGAAAGTGTGTCTTATTGTTACTTTCGGAAATACGTTTCGCAAGACTTTAAAAAGAGTAACTAAATTTCGTGAAAATTGTCCAAGTACTGTTCTGTTTTAACAAATACCGGTAGTTAGTCTCAGAACTGTCACAATTGATTTTGATTTTCCATGAAAATACTTTCCAATAACACAGAGACACCATCTGATAACAAAGCGAAATTTGAAACTGAAAACAGTTTGACATGTTCCTTTGTAAAAAAGTAGAGCTGTACAAGAAAACATGACACCGTGTGTTTGCGCTTACAGCTGAAGGACATTTGATAATATGCCTGAGGTCAACATGCCTGTATAGTGGCCGAGGTTTTTTTTTTTCTTTTTGCTATTATGGACCTTGACGAAGTCCAACGTAATAACTTTTGATACTCATTTGAAAATTGCTGCACGTAAAAGCAGAACCCATTTAAACTAATTCGTTTTATTTCAGCACTGCTCTGTCGTCATTCGAGCCTCCCCCCATGCCAATTATACTCCAGCAGTCATACATATTTCCAACAACAGTACGCACTGCCACTGTCACCATAACAGAGCGAGGAATCACTCATAAAACTCTCCTGTTCGGGTTACAAACTGGATACATCTGGAGCCTACCCAAGAACTTTTTGGACCCGCGGAGAAAATTTTTACCCACCCAACAGGACCGTGAAGAAGGATTACATCCTTATATTCCAGAGCTGGCTGCGAATCCATTGGCTTTCATTAACTACAACCAAACTGGTAAGTATCTTATGACGAAAAAAACTTTAAAGCGCTTTCCGTTTGAGGGTCATAAATCCAAAACCAAAGTAATCGAGCAAACGGAAGTAACGGGGATAGTTATTTCCCCCCCCCCCCCACGGGGATAAACAAGCTAACAAAGATAGTTGCTTGCCCAGGGGAATAAAGGAAGCAAACGGAGATAATTGTTCCCCCTACGAAAATACACAAGCAAACGGGGATAGTTGCTCGCCCACGCGGATAGGGGAAAAAACCCGAATAGTTGTTCTCCCAAGTAAACAGCCTTCATTGACAATCATTGAAGAGCTAAAACTTCTCTCTTACCAAGTTAGAACCGAAAGCTCCCGAGACGAAATTTATTTACATCTTTACAAATGTTCTGTTCCTTCTTTAGTTGCCAGTATCAACGGTGTGTACACGGCCGGGTCGGGCCTTGAATCTACTTGTCTGGTGTTTGCATATGGACTGGACCTTTACTGGACCAGAATTACACCATCCCGGATGTTTGACGTCCTCAAGGAAGATTTTGACTACTGGTTCATTCTTGGAACGCTGGGAATTTTGGTTCTTGTCACCATTGTGTCTCAGAGACTTGCTTCGATTAAAATGCTGCGACAAGCGTGGCAATGACGGGAGAACTGATTAGTAAGATTATTAACAATTCTAGAGGATTTTCTCAGTAACACTAGTATGAGTTTTCGCTGGCCAGAGCGGAAGGAATTTGATAAACGGGAATGTAGCAGTTGAGTGTATATTAATAGCTTTTTCATTCCCAATCTGTGGTCGGACCAACACAGCGGTCAAACGTCGAGCATGCATAAGGTGATCAATTTTGGGCGCCCGCGCGCCAAGTACACGCAAAATTTCAAAGAAAAACAGAAGAAATAAGGTTGATTCAGTTATGGGCATCCTGTTGATTGGTCATTTTGCTTTTAGCTTTATCAGAAAAAGTGATCAGTTTCATCAAAATACTGAGATTTTCTGTCTTTTGTGTAAGTTAAAAAACACTTGTATGACAACTTGGTTCTGATAGCCTCAAAGTATACGGCCTCGCCACCTGCTATTATAACGTTCACACATGCGCAGATGTGAGACCATTGTGTTGGGCAGGCTACACTATAAAAGCATGGAAAAACTGATTACTAATACTATCGAATCTCTCGTAGGCAGACAAAGGCATAACCTTCGGCGCCAGAATCAAAACTTTACCTTAATCCCTCTATACCCTACACTTGTCTTTCTCCATACATTTCTTATTGTACCGGCAAGGAGGATTTGTTTGGTAGTTGAGGGCTTTTTCATTTGGTGACCACTTTCTTACTCTCAGGTCCTCGCTGTTTCATTCAGTAGGATATTCGGTTTGGAGAATCTCGATGATAGTCACTATTAGGATATAGGAGATTAAAAGTGTTATCTCCCTACAGGAGACAAACGGTAACGAAGGTTCGAAGGTGAAAAAAAAAACCATTCAACAGTTTCATTGTCCAGAGTGTAATTTCGTGTAATTGGACTTTAAGAACCTTCTTAAAGGCTCGTAACTAAGATTTTTATTCTTGCACATGTAAAGCTTGTTAATTTCGTCCGGGATGTTTTGTGCACTTTTTCACCATTAATTTTTACTTAAGCTCATATACTGAAATTTTGCCAACGCCAAAATATTTCAATGCGATCTAGGCAAGATTATTTCGTGCAAAGTCGAACAATAAGCTTAAGACTCAAACTGGACAAATTTTACGTCATCAAGACAGATTAATCGTTGTTAATAAAATTTCAAGTGCCATCCAAGACATTTTTCTCTCATAAAGTTTGTAATATTATGCCTTATTACAAGTTAAAAACTACTCATAAAAGTTGAGTACATACTCCTTGTTGAGCTTGAGAAGGCGAACATCCGAACTATGACTGACGAAACTAAGACGGCGCTACGAAGTCGAGAAGAATCAAACTCAGTCTTCCTCAGTCGAGTTTCTCTTCTTTTTGAGAAGCCTGGGAACGACGTCAGATGAAATAAGAAAAACTTACATGAAGGTAGCTTGATGTTAAGGTTCTCCTAGGTAGTTAAAGTTGTGAAAATTTAAAATAGCTCTGGCTACTTTATTCTTTGCATTATGGTTCCAACTCGATCGCAATGCACGGGAAAATTCCAGCTGTATACCATCAACATTTCCTCCATCTCTGGACCCAAATTTAGCCACTGTGTATCCTCCAGACAGATAAGTTATCACAGCTGGTTTTATTTTTTTATTTTGCGGAGAGGGTATCGCGAGTAAGCCTTGCTGATTCATAAAGTACCCAAGACTTCTGTTACCCTGGACGAATTCCTTAAAACAAATATTGTCGATTCCACACCAGTGGTTACCAAGGCTTCTGATAGAGGACATGTCCATGCTATAGTCTCCCTTGTCGAGATAATTGCTATGAACCAGATAACCTAACACAGTTCTTTGTAGGTGATCAGCACTGCCGTGAATGTCCAGCAGTAAGCCGCGCCCAGTCCCACGCCTTGTGATGCTCGACTTGGCCTTGTTGATGAAAAAGGAGTAATCATAATAGGCGGCAATTGCGTCCGAGATATTGAAGGTTGCTTCTTTGATCTCCCTGTTCACGTCAAGTTTGGCTCTCAATAGCATGCTGTACACGACGTGTGGTCGGAGACCTGTTTTTAACGAGAGCTAGTCGTTATTTGTCGCCGGGGGGGTGGGGGAGGGGGTAGTCGGAGGATTTCTTAATAATGGCCATCAAGTCATTATTTGCCGCCAGCGGGGAGAGGTGGGGGAGGGGTGGGGGAGGAGGATTTTAATTCGTGTCATAGTAAATAACTGGTCCCTCTGGTAAAAAATGTTAGTTTGTTGCGATCGTATGTCGAGATAAGGCAAGAAAGAAAATAGTGAATTTTTGTGCACGGTTGTCGAAAAAACAAAGATGTTTAGCGTCTTCCACGAATGTGAGACAATAGAGGAGATCGGAGTCTCCTGTAGGAATTCAAACCACAGACTGACCAACTTCGCGGGTGGGGAGACTCCTCTAAGGACTTCTTTCGTTCATCTGTGTGGTGGTCATTCACCACACAGACTCTTAGAAGCCTTCAAGGCTGAAGTGGATGGTGGGTTCTTTATAATTACTTTCGCAAACTTTCAGACGGATTCAGTACCAGCGAGGCGGGGGAGAAAGGGAAGCGGAAGTGATATGGGCCCTAGTGGAGAGAAAAAGCATACAAAAAAAATTCCTTTTCTCAGACGCAGCAAGCTTGAAAGGGAACTGGAGCATAAAAGAGATTAAGCGATACAAGTAGATTTACTGAGGTAAAGATCATCAGATGAGAAGATTTTTTCCCTCTAAACTAAAAGAAATGAAAAGAACACTCGAAACGTCACCACAAGATAACAAGGCTCGGATCAATGTCAATATCCGAGCAAGTGCGCAGGTACCCCTCCCCCGACCTAACATTAACCCTAACTTATTATCAGTGGACTGTTGTTGAGTTAGGGGAGGGGTGAGTTCGCAGTTGCTTTCATACTGACACGGATCCCAAGGTTCTAAAGGTACCAGGGCCATAGTACTCTCTTACCTGCTATTACCTTGATTTCATTGGCAATATCTCGAGCGATGCCCATGGTAAAATCATCCCTCTTTATTAAAGCAATGCACTTTGCAGATTTAACCCTACAACCGTGTGTCCAAATACATTCACCATCGCTTCCTTTACAGCCATTTCCTCTGTATGGCCATCTGCGACCATCACTTTGAGTCTTGGGATCCAGTGAACCTCCGTGAGGGGCTGTTATTATAAGGTTCATATCACCGGGTTCGTATTTTATGAATCTTTTGAAACCCCATTCTGTTATTCCAGAGATGCCAGGCATAAAAATTTTCAGGAATAGAAGATGATAAACTGAAATCATCTGTAAAATAAGTCAGTCTCATCTTAATTGACAGTAGTAACATAACATATTAAGAGCACAAACATATCAAACTGCCTCGAGAAAAATCGTCCACTTTTGTAGAATAACAGAGAAAATTTTACGTTATGGAGATTTTGAGCTCTTAGTGATATAAAACCTTCCATGATAAAGTTTCCGAGCAAACAAACAGACGCCCCAGTCCCCCACCCCCACCTTAGCTTTACCTTACCTTTTAATTGAACATAAAAATAAAAAAGATGGTACCAGAGAGAAGCTAAAAAAAAAAATTGCGCAATCAACTGTTGATTCAATGTCAGTATCTGAACAGCCGAGCTGCGCACCTACACCTCCCCTTTTCCAAACTTTTTTAAAGGGCTAAAGCTCGAAACGTCCTTTTCTCTGAAGATTAACACTGCAATACGTTTATGATACTGCACTGAAACAACCTGTAAGATTGAGTGATTCATCTTGAAACTTCTCTCAATCAACGGTGTTAAATTTCATCAGAGCGATTTTTTCGGAGAGTGATTTTCCCCTAAAATAAGCCCTTGGAATCTATCAGAGTCAAAGCAAATAAACTATATTCTTGCCATATCGAACGAAAGTCGGAAAGAAAGCGAGTCCTATAATTTTGTTAGAATTATTTCGATCTGAAACAAACCAGCTAGGATAAGGTTACCTACGACGGACAGAAGGCCACATAGCTCAACTGGTTGTTAAAAATTTGTCTCACCTAGTCGAAGTTGACTTTTTAACGGGAAATGACTTTAGACGATGGCACTGATAACACTGGTTAAAAGATACCCAAAGGAAGGCAGAAAAGCTTCTTTGTGGTCTTTGGAAATACTCTTCGCGTCCACAAGCTCCTCTCTGGTACTGAACGACTCTTGAAAAAACCTGTTGGGGTCAAGGGTTGATGTGGCTTGTAGCAAAAACGAAGACCCCGAAAGCTAAGACCTAAGATCTAGGTTCAGACAACGAAGACCCCATTATTTTCGTCATTCATTATAATCACGTTATGGTTTCTCGTCGGAAATATCCAGTTCCGGTTTTAATCTTTCTAATAGCGATAAAGTATGCAATCAAACACCAGTTTTAAGAAAAAGACCCCGAAAACGAAGACCCGAAAAACAAAGATCCGAAAACTAAGATCTGAAAATGAAGACCTGAAAACTAAGACACCTTAGTACCTAAGACCCGAAAACGTGTCTTAGAAAACGGAAACCTAACACCTGATAACGGAACCGAAAACGGACCCCCTTATTTGCATTATTGATAGTGATAAAAAAAAAAAAACCCACCTGCCATTAGCACCCTCGCGAACTAAGTGCCTATAAGAACTGTGTAATTCGGAACCCCGAAAGAAAAACCTCTCCAAAACTTCCTCAGCCGATGTACTATTTCACGTGGAGCTTATTACGCTGTCCACGTGCTTTCTGCCCAGAAGGTTCAGAAGCCTTGGCAACTAAAATCAGTTGATGTGCACCTTACCAGCAGAATATCAGACCTCTTTTTAGGCAGTTCAGAGAACTTTTATTTCTCCTTAAATCTAAACCCTATGCATGCTAAACTAATATAAAAACAAAACAACAAAAGCAAAGAAAAGAAAAGGTAAAAAAGAACGATTGTGGACAGACTGACCTTCCCAATTCGATTCGGCAAAAACAAGACAAAAGAATTCATAGCACGTATTCAGAACAGAGGAATATAAATAGCGAGGGTGGGACGAGTAAGTGGCCAAAAAGATATGGGGGGGGGAGCTTCATTTGCTAGTTTCTAACATAGCGTCTAGAGTGCGATAAAATATTGCCATTCGGACTTATTTAAAATTTAGAAGATCATTATAAAAGCCTGTGGAACCATTCCTACTTTTAATGCATGATAATATAAAGATATCTTTCTCTTACAATATTTCAAAACTCAATAAAAGATTAAACATACATCTGACGCCTTAACTTGTGAAAAATAAATAATAATGAATTTATCGTTAGCAATAAGATAAAAGATTGTTAACATCATATCAGTAATTTGAACCACAGTTTAAGAAACACATATAAATAATTTGACTGTTTCAACCCAAGAAGTAATTTGCATGTTAATTATCCCTACATCAACAAGACATTGTCTAGCAAACAGGTGGTAAAGATAGACAAACCTATCAGCAAGAGAATTTTATCCAGTTAAAAAAAAAAATTCTCCACATTGTTTTATAACAGCATGTGAAGCAGTTAGGAGGGAGAATAAGTAATTAACAGATCCTAAGAGAGTAAGTTTGAAACGATTCATAGCTGCATCAGAAAATGACAGATCCAATTGTAACTTATATCACTATAGCAGAATTACTGAATAGTATGTGAAAGATCATAAAGTAAGAACTTGGAGATTTCTTTCCAGTGAGCCTTCTGACCTTAATGGGTAACTTTCAAGTTATTCCATTCATTATGAATTTAGCAGTTTCAAAAGGCAAATATTACAGCCAAGTCTGGAAAAATAAACAAAAATAGTTTGCAAAACTGATAGTCATGCAAAACTTAAATCCTAAAAAGATTTTGTTGAGGACACTAACTTACCTAGACAGCAGTCTGAAAGATTAGATCTTATTGATCAACAAGATAAGGCGCTAACCATCCTAAACCGTCTTCCGTTTGACCTATGGTATTAATTTTAAAGTCAGATCAAGGAGAGCCCTCATCCAAAAGCAGACACTAATGGTCAAAATCAGATACTTCCATCTAGGAGCAGACACTATCTTCCCATATCTGACATTACCTTCCAAAAGCAAACACTATTACCCCATGTCAGACCCAATCGTCCAAAATCAGATCATTTCATCCAAAAGCAAACACTATCATCCATATCGAACACTATCCATCCAATATCAGAAAGTCTCACACCTAGTCCATAGTCATTAGTCCCAAAGTCAGACACTAGTGTCAAAATCGAACACTAACATACAAAATCAGACAATAGTGGCTGAAATTGAACTCAAGCCTGAAAGTGACTAATATAAGACACTAGAGTCTGGAATCACTCTAACGTCCAAAATGGGAAACCAGTGTCCAAAATCAGACACTATTGCATGAAATTGGACACTAGAGTCTAAAATCAGACATCACTGTGTCCAAAATTGGTCAATAGTGTCCAAAATCAGACACCAGTGTTGAAAATCAGGCACTAGTGTCTAAAATCGGACACCAATGTCCAAATTCAGACACAAGTGACTAGAATTGGAGGCTACTTTCAAAACAAGTCCGTAGTCATTAGACTTAAAATCAGACACTAATGTCCAAAGTTGGATACTAACATAAAAAGTAAGACAGTACTGGCCAAAATTGAAATGAAGCGTCTGAAATAAGACCATAGCATGGTGTATGAATTTGGACAAAAGTGTCTGTAATTGGAGAAAAGCGTTGGAAACCATGTCAAATCAGTTGGAACTATTCAAAATTTGGATGAATGTTAATGAAGCCTGACATAACTATTTGAGATGCTGAAATGATTTTTCTATTGACAATTCATAAATAAATGTAAAAAATGATTCAAAATAAAAATAGTGTTTTACCTCTTGGATGATATTCACAGCCTATCCAGCCTTTGTATCCTAGTTTAGCTATGTGATAGAATACAAAAGGATAGTTGATTTCGCCATCTAAATCTGGTTCATTTCGTGATGGCACCTGGCTTATTTGGATATGGCCTATGAAATTTAATGAAAAAAAAATTAACAAATAAATTAAAAAACGAGACAAAAAATTGATTAGCAGCAGCTATGCAGAAAGTGGCATATGATATTTTTAATGGAAAGATCGATAACACTGGAGGATGTATCTGACTTCAGTAGGGGGTCCAAACTGCTAGCAATTAGAAGGGTAGGGAAGGGTTGGGGAGGTTCTGTTGCTTGGCCTGTTGAGCATTTAGACATCAAGTCTTCAGTAAATATTCACACCCCCCAACCAAACTAGACAAATGTTTTGTTTTGAATCACCCTTCCCCAACCAATCCCAGTTATGCTCTAAATTTTCCCAAAAGCAGCTGTTAGAGTTTTTCCTTCTATTTCCCAATGACATTTCACAATTAAGGAAAAAGTAGTTTTTAGTAATCATTAAAAATGCCAAGGTGATTCAAGAAATTCTAAAGAGAATGAAGGATAACTAAGACAGTCACAAGCACCCTGGGCCAGTCTCAAAACGATGAAAATCTAAATAAGGGAGATTCATTCACAGAGACCTCTGTGTAAGGGAGAATGAAACTGGAGAATTTGGTCTCCCAGAACTCAACACTTTATGAACCAAATCAGGTTGTATCAACCAAGTCTCCTTGTGGACTTGATAAAAAAAGTGATTGTAAGTCTGCATCCACAGCTGATTTGAATTCCTGCCAGAGCAACTAACTGACCCAGTTTATGAAGCCACCAAGAATATTTGTTAGTATCAGTTTTCCTCCAGTAAGGAATATTGGTCTTTTTCATGTGTCATACTGCCTATGTTTCATTAAGCTTTTTCAGGAAAGTAATATCCCTGCTGGAAACAGTAAATTATTTTTAGGTAGAAATTTACCTATATAAGGCATGGAATCATTTAGAGTCTGTGTTATGTTACCAGTTGTACGCTGATGGTGGAACAAATCCTACAAATGATTTGAAAATTGATATAAAAAACCAACTTATCTAATTGTGACTGTTATGATAAATTTATAAAATAACAAAAGTTAAAACAATTAGCGGTAAACCAGATCATAAATAGGTTAAAAAATAAATAGATAAATGAAAATAGTTTTGAAATGAAAATTTATCAGGAAGTCTTTCTTTTTGTAGTTAATACTGCTTTGCATTTTTAACAACTTACCAACAGAAGTTTAATATTTCTATGATCTACTTTCTTGATCAAATTGATTGCTGTCAAAACAGAATTACTAGATGTTACATACGTTTTCTTTTTTTTCAGAAACAAAAATAAGTGGCAGAACAATTTCAAATAATAACATTAAAGTCAATTAAAAAAGTCACAAAGAATACCTTGTTGTGAATTAGTTAAAAAATACCCTGGTATTGTACTGATAGGCTCTACTAAAAGGGTGATTCCATTCTGCAACAGTTTAAGACAAGAATACTCAATCTTACTGCTAGTCAGTCTTCATAATGTAGTAAATACACGAATAATTATTTTTTCTTAACCCTTTGTCCCCTATAAGTGATAAGTGATGAGTGAATCTAATTTCTCCATACAATATCACCCCTGAATCGCATGTTCAAGATAATCAAGGAAAAGATCACTAACTAAAACAGTTCTTGATTGTTAAACAAATTCTCCTTGTTAGCACCTTAGGAAATGTATAGAGAATAGCATGGAGAATATCGATACTGATGTTGGGGCATAAAGGGTTATGGGGCTCATGCATAGGTTTGTTTGCTATTGCAACTAATTTTGAGTCACACAAATCTTCTGGACTGTCATTGTTAAATCCCTACTTCTCAAATGTACTTGTGTCACAATTTTTCATGTCAGAGATTGTGCTAACAGATTACCTCTTCTAGCCTCTGAGCAGCATATTTCATATTCTTCACATATGTCTCCTCCCATAGCACCACTGACTTGTTATCTGTGCTAGTAACACCCTCAGGAAACACACCAGCTAATACATGCAATCTACAATAAATGACAGATGCTAATAGTGGTCTCAATAATTAAAACATGGAAGCTCAGACAGACAAATCCTACAATTTGAGTTACTGATAACTTGATGCAATAACTCCTAAGAGTGACCAATGGGTTATTTCTCCTTACTAAACAGTCACATTATCTAGCATCAAGGTTGGAGGAATAAGTAAAATATCAGAAAGGTGATATTGCTTTATAAAACACCAGATTGTCAGAGCTCAAGGTATAAATATGTACATGATTTTATTTTGAGATCTTCAAAATGAAAGGTATAAAATAAATAAAGAATTCTCTGAGATGGTTTGCTATTGCAGAGAACTTGAGTGAGAGGAAATTTTATCTGTCCAAAGCAAATGGTCACACATTACCTTGTACATTTAACAGCTTCAGCATATTTGATAGATAACTCTAAACATTGCTTAAATTCTTCCTCTCTACCAGGTACTGCTGCAAGTCCTTGAGAACCTCCTACAAAGAAAAAAAAATTATGAAATAGAAAAATATAGCTCAGCATGCTGTATAGGCCTGAATGGGGATCTCTAAATCATTTCCTCAAGTTTTCCCTATTTACCGGAAGTGCATCCATGATGGCATCAAACAAATTCCAAACCATCATTAGCTAAGTTGGGGTTTTTTGCCAAGAAGTAGGAAGTTACTAAAGTAATACCAAAGTGTCTTTAAAACCTCTAATTTAAAAGCAATCAGTGACTCCTATTCTTATTTGTACACCACGATAAAAAAAAATCAAAATTTATCAACTGTATATTTCAAAAAACCTGTTGAGAATGTTCAGAGCCACTTTGAGTTTGCTCTAAATTACAGGCAATTCTGATCTCAGCAGTTTAAAGAAGTGCATGGCATGAAAAAGAAAAAATGATAGCTCTCATACAAATGACTTCTCACTTAGATGTACCAGGTTAAATTGCTTTGGCCTGGTCAAACAGAGAGCCTATTTCACAAACTAGACTTAAAACAAAGGGTTCATTCCTAACAAGAGCTCACCATCAAAAGCATTCATGAGAATCTGTTCTATTTGTGCATTTTCTCTGGCATTAGATAATTCCTCAATAGGAATATCTGGTGGAAAACCTGATTCCACAGCTTTGAAACCTGTGAGGTAAAATGACAATCTGTCAGTGAGGACATAAATCTGAATTAGAAACAGAAATTAGGAACACATGAGGTAGAATGACAAGTGTGGATAAGACAAAGCAAACAGAAATAAGATAAATGATAGAAAAGGCAAACAATTAATGATATAATGAATAAATTAAAGAATGCATGAATGTACGATTTTATAAATGAAGGAAGGAAGGTCAAACGAGATAAGTCTAAAATTATTCATAAAACGACTGGTGGAAAAGCGGAGATTTTTTTTAATAGTTCAAGTCTTTGGGATTTCAAGCAAACCCTTTTTTCAAGAAAATAGTATCTTATGCTTTTATCTCTTGAACACCAGAATGTTGCACATGGTGAGGAAAAAGTTTGGTTTACAAAAATATTCATGAAAAACATCATCCAATTTCAAAACAATCAGGGGCCGTTGAGGTCCCTTCCTTCAAGTTTCGAAAACAACTCTGGCAGTACAACTTGTCAATAAATGGCTACTTCTGGTCATAGCTGATATATTCAAGTTCATCACCTGCTCTTTTGGCTGCTTGGTATCTATCAAGGAAATTTTTATGCTCCAAAAATGTGAACGATATATTCGCTGCAAATTTTAGGGCCATGCTGACCAAATCATCCCTGCTAGGGACTACACAGTCTAACTGTGTACATGAAACTGAGGCAATCATGACGTCTTTCTTACCATATTTGGTAAGATTTACACAAATAAACCCCATAGTAACACATATGTAATGACGAAGGTCATGCATTCTAACGTTGTTTAGAAGTCAATTTCTCCCGGAATATTCCTAGAGAGGCCCTTTTAGTTCTTTAAAATGGCTCTTTTGAATCGAAAACTGAAAGAAAAGGATGTAGACAACCTCCCTTTAATCGAGGAATCTGAGAAAGTTGTAGTCGATCTCGATGAGGACGATGAAAACAGCGAAGATACTTTTGTACATCATGGAATCACGCTGTGGGTTTCCGATGCTCTTATCATGATTGTGCAGCATATACAGATTTTCGCGTTGATATTAGCCATGGGAGAACGCTGGGGCTATCCTAAAACGTTTGTGCAACATGCCTCATATGTTTTTCTCTTTAATTTAGACGTTTGGGAATTTGTGAAAGTCTCATCTGGAGCATATACTGGTACTTTAAACCTAGACACGTTTTTACCTTCAGGAAGCATCGGCATAGACTATAGTTATTATTTGATAGGATGGACCATTGGAGTCGCTGTGATTGGATGTACATTTTTGATAACTTATGCAGTGTTTCTTCATCGAAAACCACTGTATCTGCTGCTTCATGTTGCGAGGATGAAGCGTGTTTTCAGCGTTTTTATCCAGCTCGCCTGCTTACCTGTTGGTACTGCATATGCCCGTGTTTTCCATTGTCGAAGCGATGGAATATGGAATGTTGAAAATAGTGTAAAGTGCTACAGTTCGGACAGCATAGAGCATTTGGTGTTTGTTGCTATTGCAAGTCTGGTCGTAATTCTTGTGTTCCTGGCCTACCCAATAAACATGATAAGGAAAATTCGTGGTCAAGTGATCTGTTACAGTGAAGAAAAACATGAGGGTTACTTGCAACTCAAAGAAGCCGAATACAATCAAGGACTTGACATTTTATGGGGAGTCGGACAGTTCCACCTCTTCTCATCATTCCGCCGGCTTTGGATCTTTTATAAACCCATCATGTTCATTTTAAAATTTAGCCTTGTGTGTTTTTATGCAATGTTCCTGTTTTTTACTGAGAGCAACAGGCTTACTTTTGGGCAACGTCTCCTCATCAACCTTCCTATTTTTCTGTTCTTTTTCCTTATTATTTTTGGGTTGTTTTCTTCTGGCTTGGCCCGCCCTCCTATCAAAGCCTTCAGGGCTTTCACAGGCTGGTGTTGCTGGAAAGGCATTTCACGATTGTTACATGTCCTTTTCAACATCACTCCAACTTGGGTGGTTGCCAAGCTCTTTCTGGTTCTATTAGTAGGCGGTTTGTTCACCATTGATCGGCTAGGTGGCGGCATAGGAGCAACACTATCTATGCTAAGTCTGATAATGGTCCGAAGTCTTCCTTTCCGTGTTTCGGCATTCAACTTCATGATTTTGTTCTCCTTACTTGTCAATGCAGGTAATGCATATATCGGTGTCATAGTGGAGATGTACAACACTGATGAACTTGTGAATGCCTTCTTTGTACCACCCATTCCAGAGTTGATATTGACATGGGTGAACATAGCTTGGCTGTGTGTTGCAGTTCTGTGGCTTGTGTATCTCTTGCTGCGGTACTTGCATATTATACTTCCAAAGCAGCCTCTCTGGCCAATGCTAAGTACAGATGGAAAAAGCAACATCAGTGAAGAAACAAAGAAGTACATGCGCGCTGTTCTGAGGGGCCGTCATACATTGGAGAAAGCGCTTTCAAGCCCACCCATGTTTGCACCTGTTCATGAGTTGGAGAGGCAGATTCACATCATCAATGCATACTGCCGAGAAGCAGAGTTCTTGGATGATCCAACCTTTGATTCCCTCTGGGATCTTCTTGACGAATTGATTGAAGCTCACAGAAACTTAGCACCTCACTCTCTGTTTGCTTTGTCGGTGAAGAAGACCGTCCGTGAGATAGCAAAGGAATTGATGGTCTTGATGCCACAGATGAGAAAAAGGCTCGATCAACGTGAATATGATTTCATCTTGATGGACCCCATGAAGAAGCGCATGCTTTTGAAAATGTATGTGCTTGGAATATTTGTGAATGGACGTATGGACAAAGTCAAACATGATGTTGAACAGAAAGTTTACATGGCACTAAAAGAGGCTGAAAAGACCAAAACTCCTTCAAGTCTATATGGTAGCTCCACAGCATATGACTGGGATAGTATGATTGACTTGGCGGGTCCTTATTCAACTTTTGATGCAATGAGAACTGTTTCAAGTTCAGGTAGTCGACCTGGCACCTCCTTCTCAGTGGCTTCTAAAGCAGATAGTGTAGATAAGCTGTTGGATGAGGTGGAAGACTGGGAGGAAGGACAAGAGATGGCTAAAAGAAGGAAGAAAATTTCAGTTGGGTCAATGCCATTGATTGAGGAGCATCCTTCTTCTCCTTCAGGTGGGCAATTTATATTTTTGGAGCAAAGTTTCAGGACTTGGTATAATCAGTCAAAGCTCTCATAACTCCTACACCCCCAAAAGTGATCAATATTTATCCTTTCACTCCCAAGACCTAGATATCAATTCTCCTAACTGTTACCAATAATTCTAGTTCTGAGAATTTGATGTTAAATCAAGCAATATCCCAATATCCCCTTTGTTTACATTTTCTTTTTTCATCACCTTTCATCATAAAAATGTGTGGTTATTTTAGGGAAAGTTGAGAGTGTAATTTTGATAGATAACTAATTTCTTCTTACCTATTTGTGAGGAAATGTGTAGTAGCAAGAAGGGAGAATTGAGTTCGGTAGGTTAATTGTTTTTCTTGGGTTTCTAGGCTCCACGGGTTCATCAGCTTCTACACCTGGTCAAGTTAACTTTGATAATGACCGACCACGACCTAGAAGTGCTGGACGCTCATCGTTGCATAGTCAAAGAATGACAGATGGTTCAACTACATCAACAGCATTAATTGGAGACAGTTCTGCTGCAGAACAGGCCAGTAGCTCTCAATCACAGTCATCATTAAGAAGTGGAGATCGTGTTCCATTATTATAGTAGGGAAAGTGTTTTTTGACTCATTAGTATTTTAATATAATAGGCTACATTCATGCATTTGCTATAACCAGTTGTAAATAGGATCATCTTAGCTATGGCCAACATTTAATAGCAAAAGTTTAATTCAGTAGTTGGTATTGTACATTTTTGAACATCAATAACCACCTTTGTTATTCTATGAAATAATAAGGCTTATTTCTATCATCATCATTCATCATAATAAGGCTTATTTCTATCATCATCATCAGTATTATTATTTTTATTGCCACTGAAAATTTTGTATTGAGGTTGCTGTGTAAATATTGACTTTATAAATTGTTTTTACATTACGGTAGTTGCTATTTTCCTATTTAAATTTCCAAGTATTTATAAATTGATATTTGTCCAATGCATGGCAAGTTAGTTATATCAGCTGATCTAAAGTTTCTGGCATCATAAAGAGATTTCATTTAAATCAGCTGTAGAAATTATTACTTGTGTAGATCAAGGCTATATTTTCACAACATGACCCTTGGGTAGGCTTTAAACACTTGAATTCCCATGAGTGACCAATGCAGAACTTCCCCTTACAGTATCAATTTGATGTCAACCAGACAAGTAATGAGAATAAAGACAAATATGATTTAGGGAGTAGATTATCCAAACCAAATTCTCCAAACTAACATTATAAAAATTGTTTTGCAGACAGTAAGGAGAATTACTAATGAGATCTTGGAAGTGAAAGAGTTAAAAGAAATTGTTTCCTCCTACCTCTGGGAGGACACTAGTTTAGAACTCATGATTACATCAAGTTTGATTTTAAGGGGGGTAAAGAAAACAGAAGCACACTATTTTTGTAAAAAAAAATCATCATAATAAACTAGATTTGTAGAGATACCTTTGTGTATAATTTTTATTCATCCTCGGGTTGAATTTTTTAGCAATGTCTTGACAGGGAGACCTGCTTTTTATGACAATGTTTTACCCTTCCACCCCAAAGAGTGACCAACATCCAATTTCTCCTCACAATGTCACTCTTGAATCAAACATCAGTGTCATGAGAACCAGGAAATAATTACCATTTAACAGAGCTCTTGGTTGTTAATGCACTTGGTGGGAAATGTAAAGAGAACAGTGTGAAGAATATATTTGCTTGTGTTAGGGTGTAATGGGTTAAGGCTGGGGAGGGAAAACTTATCATTACTTTCTTGAAAATTTGTTTTGTTCTTTTTTTTCATTCACTTGAGTTGGTAGAATTTCCAAAAGATGAGCATGCCAACTGTTTTAGATAAATGAATATTGAAATTCAATTCGCTTTAGCAGACACATCTCCCTTTATTTCACCATTAGGGACTATGGTCACTTTTTATGTCTACCATAAGTTAACTAAAGGGATGAGTAATGAAAAACAAAATGATTTAAGTCGCTAGGACTAGTGGGGCCAGACACTTAGCAGACTCAAGGCAACGTTCTTACCCCCCTCTTACATACTTACAAATGACTTATGTACTCACTTTTCTAGGATTAGCGTTTTAAACCATAAACACTGTTAGCAGATTCACATCTAGTGCAACCTTATGGATTCAATTTGAAATTGTAAACAATTTTTAAGCCGAGGGGAAGAATTTCAAAATATACTCGAGCTTGAAGCCATTCGGGATCGAATGTTCCAAGGGGAGAAGATGATTGGTCAGTATTTTTACTGCATACTTGGCCAATCACGAAACCCTTTGCATGACGTTTACTTCGGCGTCCGCATTAATTGTATTTATACTGCACACTTCTCACATTCTCTCTATTACTCTTACTTCAAAGTTTAGTTCACGTTGGAATAGCAATATGTCTGGTCGTGGTAAAGGAGGTAAAGGGCTGGGAAAAGGAGGTGCTAAGCGTCACCGAAAGATCCTTCGTGATAACATCCAAGGTATCACTAAGCCTGCGATCCGTCGTCTTGCTCGCCGTGGCGGTGTCAAGCGAATCTCTGGCCTGATCTACGAGGAGACTCGAGGTGTTCTCAAAGTTTTCCTTGAGAACGTGATCCGTGATGCCGTGACATATACTGAGCACGCCAAGAGAAAGACTGTGACAGCCATGGATGTGGTGTACGCTCTGAAGAGACAAGGCCGCACTCTCTACGGATTTGGCGGTTAGACCACGCTGTAATCTACGAACACAGAACAAACGGCTCCCTTAGGAGCCACCAGATTTGATGAAGTTAATGATTGCCTCGTGAGCGACCAATTCATCTCTTTTTCTTTTCTTTTTAAGTAAACAACAAAGAATCCATTCAGAATTTTCTCTCATACCCCAAGTCTCGCTTAAGTCAAACTAGATTGAAAATTGTGGTAATTGTGCAAAGATTCTCGTTGCCAACCACTCTACCTTGCGTACTCGATGACAAGATCAGTTCTCAGAAATGGAAAATGTAATTTTAAATTGAGTGCAGCTTTTCTTTGAGGATTGAAATGTACAAACCTGTATACTACAAGTATGAAACCGATCCACGAATTCTACTTTCAAAACTTGTTCCCTTGAGAATTTTCCTATTAAAACTTTCGTAGCACTTGTCGATGCTTAATCCTTCAAGAGTGACAAGCAGCTAATTTTATTTAAGCATCCCGACTGGAAAAAAAATTAAGTTTGCAAGTGTGAAGGAGGTCATTGCCAACTCAAGAAGCTTGATTGTTGGACATTCTCCACGTTAGTACTATGACACAAATGGATTAGAGAATATGCATTCTGAACATGTTGTGAAGGTGTAAGGATTGACCATAAATGAGTGTTTTGAAAGGAGAATTGTACGAGGAGAAATTACGTAACCAAAGATAAGAACAATTAAACTGGGCCAATGTTGTTTGTGATGTTTATTTCAATATCACTTGGAATAATGTGCATCTTTTCTTAAAAAAAAGTCAGGACACTAGCTTCATTTTGTGCAAAAGAACTCGAGTCAAATTCCAGGCTACTTGCTTGCATGTAAACTCTTGGTTTCAGCGTTTCACATCCCTGAAAACAAACTTGTGAAGTGAAATTTTGTTAGATGCAATTCCATTTAATTAATTTCATCCAAGATAAGTTTTCATTAGTGAGCAATCCAGACAATTAAGCTGACTAAATTCTAAATTCTTATAACACTTTCCTATATAGAAATGACCAATACATTCCAATTGATAGGGGAACCTGAAAGTGGTCCACATTTTAAAGTTTGCAAGGTCCCCCCAAGGGTCTGTTAACCCTAAAATTTTCATTAACTCCCATGAATGAACAAGACAGAATTTCTCCTTTCATTAACAATTTGATATCAGGCATATAAGAGATGAGAAAAGATATCAATTTGGTGACTATTGTTTAATCCAATACCAAATTCTCAGAACTTGCATCATGCGAATGAAGGAGAATTACTGATGAGATCTGGGAGTGAAAAGGTTACGTTAGCTAGATTCACAAAACCCTTGAACCCACTCCACAAAACACAAGTATTAGAAGCAGGAATTATTCAAGGGAAAGTATGAACCTTCATTATCACTGTAGACTGAAATTTACACAGCAATTTGGAATCTATTTGTTTTATAATAAAGAATAAAAAAAAATTTAATGATGACATCATCTATACGTCTGTCCAATAGATCATAAGTGAGAACCAATCAGAATGCATGCTTAACTGAGCTTATTATGTAAATTTAAAATTAAATTTTTTTATTTTTTTCAACAAAACTAGTAAATACAAATTGCTCTCAAAAGTTTTGTGAATATTTTCTCCACTATACATTATCAAAACCATTGTGGTAAACAAGTGTCATGAATTGAGGCTGCAACAAGCAACCAAATTTCAATGGATAAATATGAACAGGAAACGGGGTTAGAGGAACAACTACCCCTGCATTGACAAAGAAGGACTTAGAACGCCTTTTGTCAGGGATTTTAACGAGGAGCTAGTTTTCTCTTAAATCTGCAGTGGCTGAAAAATGTGGCATATTAACTGTACACACATTTAGTAATGTATATGGATTTTAAAAAAATGCAAGGATAGCAGGAAACCAATTAAACACAAAGACTTTTGAGCTGCTGTCAGGTGCTCCCATCCCATGGATTTCAGATTTATTTTCAATATAAACTACTGGAAAATGCCCCAAGAACATTGCAGTTGATTGACTGATATCCATATGCTACAGGAAGCTATGCTTTTTGGACAGTTGTCATCTGTGTCTCAATTATATCTCTGCTTAACCCATTAGCTCCCCGGAGTGATTAACATTTATTATATAAACACCAATGAAATACCAAGTGAGCTTTTGCGTAAAAACATGATACCTTCATACATGAAGTTAACACATTATCCTCATACATAAAATCAAAGTGCTCTGTGAGCAAAC